GGTGCACAGATGGATATACATACAGGCAAAACACTTAAAAATTAAATATATATATATATATATATATATATATATATATATATTAACATGGTGCATAGACATACATGCAGGCAAAACCCGTACACATAAGATACTTTAACTGTTCAAATAATATTAAGTAAATTTTCATATAATTAACAATCTTATTGTACCTCCAAAGCCCTAATGAGACTTATGTTTGTTGGAATCTGGATACTTTGGGTCATAATGATTAATAGTATTAGAGTGTGTGTTCTGACTCAGAGCTGTAAATCCTAGCACTGGTAGGCTGAGACAGAATTGGTAGGCACTAGAGATTCAAGGGCATCCCAGGCTATCTAGTGAAGCCCTGTCTCAAACAAAAAAGATGGTATGGGAAAAAGGTTGGCCTCACCACTCTGTAGTGTGGGATGAAGTCAACTAGTCGTAAGTCTGTCTTTCACCCTCATTGTTAAGATTGTTTCATTTATCTCCTTCGGTGGCTCCTGCATTCAGTCTAAATTCCTTGAACAGACTAAATAAATTTGTGTAATTGCTGAACAGCCTGAATTTTAACTTCTTTTGCAGTTTTAGAGAGGATTTTCTGTAGCCAAGGCTAGCCTTGAACTTCAGGTTTTACTGCTTTTGCTTCCCGGGTGCTGATGTTAAAGAGATTATAAGCATGTGCCTTCTTATCCTACTGGTATTTTGTATTTGACAAGATATCACTAAGTACTGACTGGCTTCAAATTTGTCTTCACATTTATCCTTTTGCCTCAGCTTCCTGATCTGGAATTACAGGTATGTGTCTTTGTCTTTGGCTGAACTGTTTGAAGGTTTAATTTGAATTCTAACTTTTATTTGAAGCTTTTTGTTGTTGAGGTAATTTCACAACATTTCTCAGGCTGGCCTTGAACCTCTCCTCCCCTTCTCAAGTGCTGGGAGTATAGCGTATATAGACACTCTTGGCTTATGTTTCTTATACCTACCATTTAGATTCTTGACCTATACTTCTAATCCACATCGTTAAGCAATCTTCATTTTTGTGGAGGAGAGTTACTATTATTCTTACTGTTTTTCCGTTCAAGGAGCCTGCTTGTTTGTATTCATTTACTCATCTACCTAGTATCTATCTATCTATCTATCTATCTATCTATCTATCTATCTATCGTGCACTTTGGAACTAACTAGAGCTATTACAATTGCGTTCTAGCTATGCCACTTTCTAGTTGTTTAGCCTCTTAAAATGAGAGTGTTAACATTGCATTTTAATATTTCTTTTTAGGTCTTGTATGGGTACTTTGCTTGTATGTTCGTGAGGTGACAGAGCCCAGAAGAGGGTGTTGAATCTCCTGGAATTGGAGTTACAGATGATTGCATGCCGCCATGCCAGTGCTGGGAATTGAACCTGGGTCCTCTGGAAGAGCAGCCAGTGCTCTTAACAGTTAAGCCACCTCTCCAGCCCCATATTTTTATTTTTAAAAATTTGGGTGTGTAATATATGTTTGTTTCTGTATGGATGTCAGTTGTTTCTCTCTCTGGGATGCTCCATCTTATTTCTAGTTCACTATTTCCATCTTCCATCCCTTACTTACCTGGCCCTATCTCCAGCCCTGAGATTAAAGAGACACCTGTACTCTATGTTCATGCTGATCCAGCATGCATTTTGCTTACTGGACCATCTTCCTGGACCCTAACGTTGAATTTTTAATTATTTAGAGACAATAGTTTCCTTTTGTTGTTTAGGTACGCTCATGGGTTCCCCAAAGTGTTCTTCGGTCTCACTTCCTGAGTAGCTGCGACGAGGGTGTGGCATGCCAGTGTCTAGGAGGCTTATGTACACATTTTTTTTAGATTTTAATTTTTTATATTTATAATTTCTTTTACATGTATGAGGTTTTGCTTGCCTGTATGTCAGTGCACTATGTGTGCACTGGTGCCTGAGGAGGTCAGAAGAGAGCCTTAAATTCTCTGGAATTGGAGTTAATGGGTGGTTGTGAGCCGCTGTACTGGTGCTAGGAATTAAACCCAGATCCTCTGCAAGAATAGTGCTCTTAACCACCGAAGCAACCATCTCTCCAGCCCTTTTCAGGACATGGTATCACTATATGGCTGTTCTGGATCTCACTCTGTAGACCAGGCTGTCTTTGAACTCAACAGAGATCTGACTGCCTCTGCTTCCCTTGGGCTGGGATTAAAGGTGTGCACCACTGTACCTGGCCCCTTCGTGTTTGATTTTTTTTGTTTGATTTTTTTTTTGTTTGTTGTTTGCTTTATTTATTTTATTTTCAAGATAGGATTTCTCTGTGTAGCTTTGGAGCACTTGTTTTTCTTGTTGCGTTTTGAATGGGTACTGAAAAGCTTAAAGTAACCGTACTCCATTTTTTTTTCTCCAGGGTCTGACAATTCTGGATGCCAGCACCACAGATCTCTGTTGCTAGATGTTTTTGTTTTGCGTTGCTCCCTCTTACTTTTATTGAGGGGACTAGATGGTCCTTTCTGCCAGCCAGCGCTCAGAGTAGTTGGAAGACCAACCAGGTAGATAAACGTTTAAAAGATTTGGGCAACCCGGTAGTGGTGGCGCATTTAATCCCAGCATTCGGGAGGCGGAGGCAATGAGTTAGAGGGCAGCGAGTTCGGGTACAGGTGGGACTATACAGAGAAACCTTGTCTCAAACAACCAAAAAAAAATATTTTTTTTGGCAATTTAAGCAAGGTAAGTAGAACTAGCCTTCAAATTCTCACTTTTTAAAGAATTGTTTGGTTTTTCTTAGCACTCAGAAAGCTATTAGAAGCCAGGCATGGTAGCTATATATCTGTAATTTCATTACTCTAGCCCGTACTACATAGATCAAATCGCAAAAACAAAATAGGGGCAAAAAAAAAACGGGGGCAGTGAGAATTGTTCCAAAATGGATGGTGCTCATCAAAATGGATGGACAAGTGCTACTTGGTCACAAGTGCTATATCTTGGTCACAGGCGCTATCTCGGCAGTACGGGATTCCATTCTGGAAGCTGGTACGCCCGATTCCATAGTAACATGCAAATTTGCTCTATGATGAGCTGTGATAGGTGGGCACAGGAAGGCGGGAAAACGTCAGTTCCTGTGGGGGGAGGGTTGTCCCTTATAAGAGGCACTGTGCCTGGCAGCCGTTTCAAACCCACTCCGGCGCGCGGGAGCGCCTCCGGAGCCGTTGGTGGGGGCTGTGACGTGCTCCGGAGCCATTGGTGGCTGTGACGTGCGCTGGAGCCATTGGTTGTGGCTGTGACGTGCGCAGGAGCCATTGGTGGTGGCTGTGTCAGTGCTGGCGGCCATTTCATCAGGACCGGACCATTCCTTTGAGGGTCTGCTGTGTGGTGCGCCAGACACCGGGAGCCGGAGCCGGAGTCGGAGCCAGACACCGCTGGAGCCAGACACCGCTGGAGCCGGAGCCAGACACTGCTGGAGCCGGAGCCGGAGCCAGACACCGCCGGAGCAGGTACGGAGAAGGCGGCCTAGGTGGGGCAGCGGCTTCATTTAGTGTGGTGGATGTTGTTAAAAGCGCCACCGCGACTGTTCACCTCGGCTTCTGTGTGTGAACACGGGAACTATGGAACTGAAGTTCCCTTAGACCCTTTTTCCCCCAGAAAAAGGGCAGAGGGGTCGAGTGGGCGGGAATGTAGCTGAGTACCATCCCTGGCACTGCCAGAAAGGTCCTCCGGTCCCCCCTCCCCTTAAAGCTGTTACCAGCATGGCGGTGTGGCTGGGGTGCGGAGACCTCGACTGAAACCTCTGAGGGGGTTTGAGAAGGTCTCGGGGTGGGAGGATGGAGGGACAAGTGGGACAAGTGAGTAGTGGGAAGAGGGCAGTTCTGGCTCCAAACAGGTGCCATGGTGGCCGGTTCAGGAGGTAGGAGGTCGGGTCTGGGACAGGTGGGACAACAGCGGCATAGAGAGTTTTTATGCTGTGGAAGAAATGGCGCAGCTCTGTCTGCACATAGTGTTATGGCCGCACACCCACTTGGAGGTGTCCAAGTGGGTATGGGATTGTTGGTGAGCTGAGGGGAGATGTTTGAGGATCATGGACAGTAAACCAGTGGCCTAGCAGGTGGGGAAAAGAAGGAGGGGTCGAAGAAGTCTCATTGGAAGTTTCTAGAATTAGAAGAGTGCCAATTCTGTTTCTAGAATTTTCCACAAAACTTGGGCAGGCCATTGGGTGGATTGGGGGGAGGAGCCTGAGAGAGCCCCTGTCTGCTCAGCCAATGGGAAGCTATTGTGTTTCTAGAATTTTCCACTAATACTAGGCAGGCCATTGGGTGGGTTGGGGGGAGGAGCCTGAGAGAGCCTCTGGCTGCTCAGCCAATGGGAAGCTATTTCTAGAATTTTCCACCAATACTAGGCAGGCCGGTCGGGCTGGTTGGGGGGAGGAGCCTGAGAGAATCCCTGCCTGCTCAGCCAATGGGAAGCTATTGTGTTAATTTTTTCAAAAAACAGGCCCGTGGGTGGGTTGGGGGAGGAGCCTGAAAGAACCCCTGGCTTTGCAGCCAATAGGAAGCTGCGGAAGCCTGGGGACATTGAGTGGCAGATGCTGGCGGGAATGGGAGGGGACCAACGGGACTGCACTGGAGATGGGGTGGGAATCAGTTGGCGGACCCAAGTGGGGACAGGGCAGGGTCCAATAGTGGCGGAGGGGACCCTGACCGAGCGGGGCGTGGTCGACTTAGGGCGGGCCAACTACAGCGGATGAGGGGGCAAGGGCACAGGCATTGGAGGGAGGGGGCTGGACTGGCTGGTGGCAAAGCAGCAGGGTTAGAGTTAGGGTTGAGTGCGTGGGCTGCAAGGGCCGCCAGGGACTGCAAGGGGGGGGGGTGGCTGGAGGGAGCTGAGCTCTGCAAGACTGGGGCAAGCGGGGGCGGGGCTGGAGGGACTGAAGCTGGATTGCTGCAAGGGGAGGGGGAGCGGGAGCGGGGCTGGCTGGTAAGGCACGGGGGCGGGGCTGGAGAGACCGAAGCCAATCGCTGCTATGGGGGGGTGAGCGGGGGCGGGGCTGGCTGGTGAGGCACGGGGACTGGAGGCACCAAAGCAGGGGTGGGGGCTGCTGGCGGCGCGTTTCCTGCGAGGGGAGGGAGTATTGGGGGCAGGGCTGGCGGGGGCGGGGGGGGGGAGCCCCCCCCCCAAAGGGCGCAACACCAGAAGAGGGGGCGGTGGCGGGAGTGGGGAGCGGATGGCGGGGATGGGACTCACGTCCTGAGGGAGTGGGTGGGCAGGGGCGAATAGCGGGGAACAGAGTGACTGATGGGGGGGGGGGTGGCAGGAGCGACTGGCCTGGGTGGGAGGGGCCGGTGGGAGCGGGAGCGACCCGGGTAGCCTCCTGTCATGAGACCTGGTATGGCTCACTTCTCAGGATCAGACCCTAGTGAGGACTAGGAAGTCTCTTAGCCAGAGCTGCAGGGGGAGTTCTGCCCCTGCGAATGTGAGGCCATGACAGCAGCTTATGAGAGACTAGGGGTTGAGAAATTGATAAAGACGACCCGTATTGAAATAAAACTAGGTTAAATTGAGGTTTGTCTTCCTCTTTATGCCTCATTAAAGTGGCACTTGAAGTAGATTAAGGGCTAACTACTACATGCCTTTGGCTTTTTAAATTTATTTTTTCTAGATAAGGTTTCCCTGTGTAGTTCAGGGTTTCCTTGAAACTTACTCTGTAGACCAGGCCAGATATTGGCCTGCTTCTGCCTTCTGAATTATTTATTTATTGGTTTTTGAGGCAAGGCCTCACTAGCCCTGTATGTCCTGAAACTCAACAGTGTAGACCAGGCTGGGATTAATGGTGTGTGCCTACCCTGGCTTTTTTTTTTTTGGGACTGTGTGGGGTTTTTGTTTGTGTTTTTTTTCAAGACAAGGTTTCTCTGTGTAACCCTGGCTGTCCTGGAACTTGCTCTGTAGACCAGGCCTACCTTTACCTTGGGATCTTTATGTCTTTTCATGTCTTTTCCTCCTGAGTACTGAGGTTGCAGGTTTGAGTCACCATACCCTACTATCTCAATATTTTTAATTTTAATTTTATTTTTTGTTTGACCCAGGGTTTCACTGCTTGCTAGCCCTGGCTGTGCCAGAACTCACTCTGCAGATCCTCCTGCCTCTGCCTCCCAGTGGTGGAATTAAAGGTGTGTGCTACCACCGAACCACTCAGTTAATCTTCTTAAAAACTTGCATTTATTTATTTTTGTGTAGACGTGCATGTGCAATGGTGGATGTATGGAGAGCAGAAGATAGACAACTTACAGGAGTTCGTTTTCTTCTATATAGGCCCCTAGGATTAAATTCGGCCCTAGGATTAAATTCAGGTTGTTAAATTTCGTGGTAAGCACCATTTATTGCTGGGCCATTTCACTTGCCTGGACTTGGTTGGTCTTAAAATTGTAAAGAAATAAGAATCTTGGGTTCTATAATTCCAGAGTTTTACATATCTTTGTCAGTGGCCAGAAACTCATAATTCTATGAAGCATGCAACAGTTTATATATTTTCGAGGCCGGCTTTCTCTGGCTTTGGAGCCTGTCCTGGAACTAGCTCTTATAGACCAGGCTGGCCCCGAACTCAGAGAGATCCACCTATCTCTGCCTCCCAAGTGCTGGGATTAAAGGTGTGGGCCACCACTGCCCAGGTCATACAACATATTATTGAGTATGAATAATTCCTGCAAAGTCACTCTGAAATTCATATCTAATGTTGTTTGATTTTTTTCCACTCCATTGTTGATAGTGCTGCCCCCAGAGAGACTCAGGAAAAATGATTTTCATCATGATCACAGAGGTATTTAAAATAGCTATGTCTCTTCAGCATTCTTTGAATGCTCTTATTTGAAATACTGCAGTATGTCAGTCCGTGGGGATAAAATATGGAGGGAGGTACAGAGCAGAGTGGTGGGAAATAGATAAAATACAAAGAAAGTTTAGTTCATGGTGAAAATGATATTTGAAAGGAGTGGAGGCAGTAGATAAGTCAGCAGGCAATTTGATAGTCAATGAACTGTTTGGGGAAAAAAAAAACAAATTAGAACATATTCAAGGCCCTAGGTTTAATCACTAGCGTTAGAAAAAACAAAGCAACTCAAAAAAGTTGGAATTGGGGAATTAGTCCTGCTAACTTGAAGTTTACACACTCATGCTTTTTCAAGCAACCCTAACTAAATACAGTGCCCCCAAAAGATGTGGAAGTAGGAGAGGAAAGGAAGGGGTTCTGTGTGAGGAGGACGGAGATGAGAGGATAATGGAGGGGAATGTGGTCTAAGTGCATTACATTTCTGTGTATGAAGTTGTCAAAAAAGTTGTAATTCTTACTTGATTCACTCCTTATACCAAAATAAGTTTCACACAGATATTAAGAAACAAACAACAAAAACCCTAAAACTTTAAGAAAATGGGTATGGTGTAATTCCTAGCACTGGAAAGGCTATGTTGATGGGAAGCTTGTTAAAGTAGTTGAAGCCAGTCTGACTTACACAGGGAGTTCCGTCCAGCCTGGAACTTGTGTGAGACCTTGACTTAAAAGAAAAATTTAAAGATAGGTGAATTTTGCATTTTATATTATAATAGGCTATTTTCCTAAAAATACAAAAACTTTTAAAATCAATAATTTGGGGAATTTTGTTTTGGAGAATTTTAACTCTGTAGCCCAGGTTAGACCTAAGAGTCTCATTATGTAGTCTATAGCCATAGAATTGAGTGGAATATAAACTGAGCTTTTTAGAGGAAAGTTCAGCAGTTCCAGTATTTTAAATACCCATACCTCTACCCAATTTTTGGTACAGGATCTCACTATGTAGAGCTGGATGGCCCGGAACTCTCAGGCTTCAACACAGATGTCTACCTGCCTTTGCCTCCTTATTTCTACTATTAATGATCAGGGCCACCATACCCCATTTTAAATATTCACAATCTTCTTCAGCAATTCCACTACTAGTACTTTTTCTTTAACTCAAAAAGCTATTTTATCTCGTTTCTTTTTTTACTTTTAAAAATTTGTATTTATGCTGGGCTGTGATGGTGCACGCCTTTAATCTCAGCACTTGGGAGGCAGAATCAGGTGGATCTCTGTGAGTTTGAGGCCAGCCTGGTCTATAGAGCAAGTTCCAGGGGTCAGCCTCCAAAAAGCTACAGAGAAACCCTGGGTTTTTTTTTGTGTGTGTGTGTGTGTGTGTGTGTGTGTGTGTGTGTTTGTATTTTTGGGACAAGGTCTCACTGGCTGGCCTGGAACTCACTCTATAGGCTACACTGACCTCAAACTTAGAGAAATCTGCCTGCTTCTGCCTGAGTGCTGGGATAGGTTCAACTTGTTCTATTTTTTGCGATGGTCTCTATAGCCTGGCTATCTTGGAATTTAATACTTAGATTACACTGACCTCAAACTGAATTCTTGCTCAGTTTCCTGAGTGCTAAGATGAAAGGTGTGTGCTACCACACCAGGCATACCTCCAGCATTTGATGAGGATTGAGGATCTGGGTTTCTGAAGTGAGAAGTGCAAAGATTCACCTGGAGAAAATTGAGTACTCAGTAGAATCTAGTAGGCAAAGATTCTCAGGGATAGAGAGATGGTTCAGTGGCTAAGGGCGCTTGCTACTTTTTCAGAGTTACAACCCCAGAATTGGGTAGCTCATAACCACTTTAACTCCAGCCCCAGGGAATCCAACCTGCTCTTTTGGTGGTAAACTGTGCCATAGGCAAACAGTGACATAAATAAAAATTTAAAAACCTTGAAAGTAACCTTTCAAACCTTGAGGTTTTGTGATGAAGATTAGAAGATCATAAATAAAAAGGGGATCACTTTTATTTTTCTTTTTAGACTTTAAAATTTTTTAATCACTTTTTAAAAAAAAAGTTTTAAATCCAAAAAAAAAGTATTAAGTTTTTTTTGTTGTTTTTTTTTTTTTCATTCCATAGCTAAAGGCTGGCCTGGAACTTGTGACAATATTCTTTCTCCATAACTAAAAATGACCTGGAATTCTCTGATGGCTATGACTGGGCTGGAACTTGTGACAGTCTCCTCCTTAAGCCTCCCAAGTGTTGAGGCTATATACATGAGCCACCTGATTTTAGAACCACTCCTTGATATTGATGCATCAGTTATTCTGACTTTGTAGTGACCAAAAGTAAACACATAATACTTCCTAATTATGTTGCTTCCCGTTTAGGGTAGCAGATTGATACGTATATAAGCATTTACAGTGAATTGTGGTAAGAAAATGTGATGGGCAGAAGTGGTAGTACCATAGGGGTAGAGAAGAGAGAGGACAGCCATTTTCTGGTTTACTTTTTACAGTAGTCCTATGAAAGAAACAGTTCTTTTATAACTACTGCTCAAGAGCCTGTCTTGTGAAAGTCTAGGTGAGCCGGCTTACAGCAGACTGTTATTAGCATAGTTGGAGAGGTCTGAATCAAGCTATTTCACCGTTCAGTTCTGAAATATCTCCATATTTCTGAAATTTGCACATCTTACATTTGATGACAGTTATATATACATATAGGGACTTGAGAAGGATGTTGTAGCAGTTAGAAGTGCCTGTTGCTCTTTAAAGGATCCCAAATTTGGTTGCCAGAACTCAGTGTTGGATGGCTCACAACCACCTGTAACTCTAGCTCTAGAGGGTTCTAATATCTCTGGTTACTACAGGCACTTGCAGTCACATATAGGCAGACAGACAGATACAATTAAAAAATTAAAATCTTTTTAAAAAGAAGTGCATATAGGGGCTGTGATCTAGCTCAGTTGGTATTTACCTTAGCATGCATGTAACTCTGGGTTCAGTCACCAGCATTACATAAACTTGAGCATGGCAGGCATACTACTGTAGTCCCAATCCTCAAGAGGGAGGAGGCAGGAGGATAAAAACTTCAAGGTCTTGTTCTATATTACATGGGGTTTAATGCCACCTCAGTATCTAATGTAATAGATTATTATTTTGCTATTGAAGCCAACCTGGACACATGAAAGCTTTTTTTTGTTTTTGTTTGTTTGTTTGTTTGTTTTTTGAGGCAGAGGTTCTCAGTAAACTATGGAGCCAGTCCTGAAACTTGCTCTATAGATCAGACTGGCCTCAAACTCAGAGATCTGTCTGCCTCTGCCTCCCGAGTGCTGGGATCAAAGGTGTGCACCACCACCATCCAGTGCACATAAGCTCTTTTTTTTTGTTTTTTTGGTTTTTCGAGACAGGGTTTCTCTGTGGTTTTGGAGCCTGTCCTGGAGCTAGCTCTTGTAGACCAGGCTGGTCTCGAACACACAGAGATCCGCCTGCCTCTGCCTCCCGAGTGCTGGGATTAAAGGCGTGCGCCACCCCCGCCCGGCACATAAGCTCTTAAAAGTATTTTATGCCCTTGCATTTCAGAAGTTGCTTGTTTTTAGCATTTATTGGAGAGTTTTGATATTATATGGCCTGTGTTATTGGTAGCCCTCACTTTATTTTTTTCTTTTCTTTTTTTTTTTGCCCTCCCACCCCCCAAAGATTAGGTTCAGGGTTTTTGTATTTATTTATTTTTGTTTTTTGAGACAGGGTTTCTCTGTAGCTTTAAAGCCTGTCCTGGAACTAGCTCTTGTAGACCAGGTTGGTCTCGAACTCACAGAGATCCGCCTGCCTCTGCCTCCCTAGCCCTCACTGTAAAAGCCTCTTTTTTTCCCCAGTTATATTCTTAACATGGATTCAAGCAGCAGCAGCAGTGGCAGCGGCAGCGGCAGCGGCAGCAGCAGCAGCGGCAGTGGCAGCAGCAGCAGCAGCAGCAGCAGCAGCAGCAGTAGCGGCAGTAGCACCAGCGGCAGCAGCAACAGCAGCAGCAGTAGCAGCAGCGCCAGCAGCAGCAGCAAAACCTGTAAGTAGCCCGCTCTTTCCACAGTAATGCACATCGAGCATCTTTGTAGATGACTGAAATGAGGTTTGGGATACTTAGCTTGATTTGGTCCTAGTCTTGTTCTCTTTGGGATGTTGAAGTTTATTTCCCTGGTGTCAAGAGCAGATCTTCGTGTTTGTTTGTGTGTGTGTTTAATGTGTTGTTTACTCCTTTTTGGTTCCTGGGTCATCTTTTATTTCTTCTCAATCTTTCTTGGGGGTATAAATTCTTTTATTTTTTTCTATTTTCCTCCCCCTCTTCCTTTCTTTGACCTTCTTTCCATTGCTGGACAAAGAGCCCAAGGTGTAGTAGGCAAATGTTCTACCACTGACCTATGTCCCCAGTTTTGGGAAAATGTAAATTTCACTAGCTCTAATTTATAAATTGTTTTTCAGGAATAAAAGACATGAGCTATTAGGTTTTATCATGCTTCTTAATGCTTTTTCTTTCTTTGATTTATAGCTGTGACTAAATTGCCACAGAAAGAAGCCAGGTAAGGAGAATTGTTGAAACATGATCTATCTATCTATCTATCTATCTATCTATCTATCTATCTATCAGAAGTATCCACTATTCTGGGTAAGAAAATTTAAGAGTAAACATTTCATTTTCTCTGAGAATAAACACTATATGGTACTTACAGAATCACGATGGTTGTTTGAGTTTATAACCAGTTTTAAAGTATCTGATTCTAGTCTTGGGCCATTTTTTAACTGTTTAGCTGTTTGTTGCTTTTATTTATTTATAGTTTTTAGCTTATTTAAGACTTGATCTCACTATGTAGCCCTGGTTTTCCTGAAACACTATGTAGACCAGGCTGGCTTTTAACTCATAGAGATCTGCCTTGCCTGCCTCTGCCTCCTGAGTGCTGGGATTAAAGACATGCACCACCACACATGGCTAGTTTTTGGCTTTTTGAGACAGGGTCTCACTATGTAGCCCTGGCTAACCTGGAACTTACTATGTAGATAAGGTTGACTTTGAACTTGTGGCCTCTGCTTCCTAAGTGCTAGGATTAAATGAATGCTCAGTTAGTTTGATTTTTAAAATGTCTTTGAACCATGATTTTTTAGTCTCCATCAGTCAAAAAGACGTTTTGTCTGTGATCTAGTCTGCATCTTGCCTCTAGGTGAATATGCTGAGTGTACTGAAATTATGTTGATGCCCAATTCAAATAGCTCATCATATAAAAATCAAGGTTTTTAACCTAGCAGTTAGAGCTTTCAATGATCTGGCCCAGTAAGTTGTAGGAAAAGAAGTGAGTAAGGAATGCATAGAAATCGGGTGAGAACCAAAAGATGACCATGTGCTAGAAATTAAGAGAAGCCATTTAGTTTTTAGTTTTTTTTTTTTTTTGAGACAGTCTATGTATCTCTGACTGTCCTATAATTCACTATGTAGACCAGACTGACATCAAACTGAGATCCACCTGTCTCTGCCTTTTGAATTCTGGGATTAAAGATGTGCCACCATGACCAGGAAAAAGACTCTAAAAAGAAAAAATACTTAGTTATCTTTATGTGTATAAGCATTTGCCTGTTGTTATGTATGTGTGCCTTGTACCCATGAAGGCAAGAGGAGGGTTGTTGGACCCTCTGGAACCAGAATTACAACCAGTTACAGGCTACCACGTGAGTGCCTGCTTCTGACTCCAGAGTGCTGGAATTGAAGGCATGTGCCACCACCCAGCCTCAAAGAAAGGTTCTTTAAGGTTATAGTAAATAGGATAGCAAAGGCCCATCAACTTGGCAGCTTAAAAGAGATCGCGTACAGCTGGGCGGTGGTGGCGCACGCCTTTAATCCCAGCACTCTGGGAATTCGAGGCCAGCCTGATCTACAAGAGCTAGTTCCGGGACGGGCACCAAAGCTACAGAGAAACCCTGTCTCGAAAAACTAAAAAAAAAAAGAGAGATCATGTACAGTAGAAATAGATTAGCCTTGGTATCTATAATGGATACAAAAAAAATATAGTAACAGGTATTTGGAGTGCTTTTCATTCATCATAAAAATGTTTCATGTTCAGGAGATGGATCACTGGGTTAAGTAAGGTACTTGCCACAGAAGCCTGATGACTTGAGTTTGATCGTCAGAATCCATGTAAAGGTGAAAGAGAAGTGACTTCACAAAGTTGTCCTGTAACCTCCAATTGTGTTCTGTGGTACATGCACACACCCACACACACTATATACTTCCCCTACAATGATGACTTTTTAAAAAGTATATCATACAGAGGGTTTGTGGCTATAATCAGAGCCCTTGGAAGGCTGAGGCAGAGTTTCTCTGAGTTCCAGTATTATATCTTGGGATAAAGAGTATGTGCTAGCTAATTTTATGTCAGCTTGACACAGGCTAGAATCATTTGAGAGGAGGGAACCTCAACTAAGAAAATGCCTCCATAAGATTGGGCAGCAGGCAAGCCTGTAGGACATTTCTTGGTGATTGATGTGGGAGGGCACAGCTCATTGTGGGTGGTGCCATCCCTGGGCTGTTGGTCCTATGTTCTATAAAAAAGGAGGCTGAGAAAAACCATGATGAGCAAGCCAGTAAGCAGCACTCCTCCATGTCCTCTGCATTAGCTCCTGCCTCCAGGACTCCAAACTCCTTTGCCTTTTTGTCCTGACTTTTCGTTGATGTGGAAGTATAGACCAAATCAACCATTTCCTCCCCAAGTTGCTTTGGTTATGGTGTTTCGTCACAGCAATAAGACAGAAATTGGTGCCAGGATAGGGCATTGCTATGACAGACCTGACCATGTCATTTGGGGGTCGATTGTGAAAGTACTTTGGAACTTCGGGGCCAGAAAATTCATTGAGTGTTCAAAGCCTAGTGAAATGTTCTATGGGAACTTGAAAGATTAGTGTTGAGAGAAATGCAGATGATGGAGGTGTGGTTTTTGAAGTTCCAGAGGGAAGATTTGAAATCACTTAAAGACTCTCATTAGGGCTGTTAACGTATCTTGTGTTAAGAATCTGTGTGTGGAAGAATTGGTTGTGATTATCAAGATACCAAAACCACTAAAGTGAAAAAAAAACCTTTGCTTTGCTGGGATAATTGATGCTGGACAACTAGAGCTGAGAAATCAGCAGTGATTAAGAACACACCATCGCTGAGGTGAAATCTTGTGGGAAGTGTTTTCTCAGAATTAGCACACAGAAGTGGTACTCCAGAGGTGACCTAGGTTGTACCTTGTGTTGGCAGCAGAACCTGGTAGTGTATAAGAGTCACCCAGGTGGTACTGGTTTTGAAGTCATGAAGGTATCGTGGAGAGCAGCTGAGACTTGGCACTGTGTGGCAGGGCTGAAGTCCCTGAAGAGAGCCCAGCAGAGGCTATTGGTGAAACTACAGCGCAATTGCAGCAAGAGACCTCCGCATTTTGGAGATGCCAGTACCATAGGACAACTACCAAGAACAACAGTAGTGGAGTGCAGTTGTCCTGATCTTAGGAGACAATCTGTGTGGGCTGTAGTGGGTGGAGCCAGAAAAGTGGTCCTTTAGAGAAGCCCAGAAGATCGTGACTTGAACCCAGATATTGGACATTGAATTATTTACACAGTTGGAGTTTGGTTTTGCTTTATTCAGATTGTGACTGTGCCCTGGTTCTTCCCTCTTGAAGTAAGATAGTGCTTAGTTTTGATTTTTACAGAAGGCCACAGTTGAGAGACTTTGAACTTTCTAAAGAGATTTTGAAAATTTACAAAGACTTTGGATTTTAAGAGATTTGATATGTTAAAGATACTAAAATTTTTTTAAGTGTTTGGAATTTTAAATACTCCGGGACTTGTAAATTTTGTAATGTTTTATATTGTAATGTTTATTAATGTGTGATCTTGTTGATGAACAAGAAAGGAAAGGTTTTATCTTACCAGTGATATCTTTGTGTCAAGTTGACAAGGGGTCAGTGAGAACCTTTGCTCTTTGGCTCTCTTACACAAATTCATCTCAGAGTTGAAGAATGATAAGCTCCCAATGAATTTTTCCCTGCCACCAAAACTATTTTGAGTACTTGCACTCTGACAAGACCCAGTTTACTTTTTGTAGCCGACAGACGCCTCCTTTGGGAAGTTTGTAAGAAAGGGGAAAGGTGTATAGAGTAATTGGAATAATTGAAAGGTTGTAGTTCCAATAAAGGGGAATAGCGTTAGTGTAGTAGGAAACAACCAAAACTTAACAAGTAATCCTGCTTATTGTAGAAAATATGGAAACTGCCCAGAAGGAAAGAATATTTATGCTCATATTTTTCTTTTGTTTTTTTCCACCTTATTACTTAGCTGTGTGGTGATTGACTCAGACTCTGACTCTCTCTATGAGGAAAAGAGATCTAAGATCTGTGAAATAAGCAGTGAAGGCAAGTATCATCTTTGCTTAGAGAAATAGCTGCTCTGAAGCCTTGTCACATGTGGCAGTTTTAGGGTCTGACTCTGCACATTTTTAAGTTTATAATGACCTTGAGGCCAGTGCCGCCCTTTTTTCATTATGTGCTGGATGTCAGTATGGCTGGCTTCCTTCTTCTTTCTTTTCTTTTTTCTTTTTTTTTTTGAGACAGGGTTTCTCTGTATAACAGTCCTGGCTGGCTTCAAACTCACAGAGATCCACCTGCCTCTGTCTCTCAAGTGCTGAGATTAAAGGCCTGAGCCACCACTGCCCAACTATGGCTGGGTTCCTCACCTTGATCTGTTTCCTAACACAGTTGCAACTCTTCTGCTGCCTTAGGGTTCTATTTGCCTAGACTCCACTCCTCCATCTTCCTCTCCTTCCATCCTTTATAGGTGGGTATGACAAGGAAGAGGAGAGGGTGAGAGGCATGGCTCAGTCCTCTTTCCAGCTTGGTGGAGACTGGAGCTGGGGGAGGTACCAACTACTATCTACTCTATACACTATTTGTATAAGGTAGAAATCACCAAAAGTCCAGCTACGTCATAGGACTAAATAAAGAAGTTTTTTTAAGCTAGAGAACTTTAACTTGATATAAATGAGATACCACTTTATTGATGTAATTGCCCACATTTTGCTGTGAACCACAAGGCAGCAGGTTTGTGTTTAGGAACAACTGAGCAAATACTTCATGTTGTTTAGACAATGTGATTTTAAAGTGGGCATAGCATACATAATACTTTCATTGCTAATTTATCTGTCATTACTCTTAGTAAAACACAAAATACAGGGAAAACAATCTATAAGTATAATTTTTAACTGTGATTCAGAATGTCCAAACACTCAGTTTTTTTAATTTGTGCTCAATAACCTGCTGATGTCTGTATATACAGAGTGGGTTGGATAGAAGGAGTATATTTATAGATGTCTCTTGAATTTCAGATGAGTCTTCTGACGAGTCTTCTTCTGATGAGTCTTCTAACGTTAAGGGCTCCAGCGATCAGAAGTCTCAAGTAATTGTTATCGATGATGAAGATGACAGTCCCAATTTAAAGGGTTCTGAGCAGAAAAAAGATGTTTCTAGTGATGAGTGCCAAATGCCTGTTCTCGAAAAAGAAATTGATTGTGTTGTTCTTGGGGCTACTTCATCTGCTGATGTTTGTGAAATAGGGGCCCCTGGAAAAAGTTCCAAACAACCACCACTGGAGCCTGAGCCCGAACCCGAGCGGGAGCCTGAGCTTGAGCCTGAGCTAGAGCGGGATCCCGAGCGGGAGCCTGAGCCTGAGCCTGAGCCAGAGCAGGATCCTGAGCCTGAGCCTGAGCCTGAGCCCGAGCCAGAGCGGGATCCTGAGCCTGAGCCTGAGCCTGAACCCGAGCCCGAGCCTGAGCGGGAGCCAGAGCCAGAGGGGGATATCGAGCCAGAGGGGGATATCGAGCCAGAGGGGGATCTCGAGCCAGAGGGGGCTCTCGAGCCAGAGGGGGATCTCGAGCCAGAGGGGGATCTCGAGCCAGAGGGAGATCTCAAGCCAGAGCCAGAGGGGAATATCGAGCCAGAGGGGGATATCGAGCCAGAGCCAGAGGGAGATCTCGAGCCAGAGCCAGAGGGAGATCCCGAGCCGGAGCCCGAACCTGGGCCCGAGCCGGAGCCCGAACCTGGGCCCGAGCCGGAGCCCGAACCTGGGCCTGAGCCGGAGCCCGAGCCAGAGCCCGAGCCGGAGCCCGAACCTGGGCCTGAGCCGGAGCTCGAGCTGGAGCCTGAGCCCGAGCTGGAGCCAGAGCTCCAGCAAAGTGTTACAGCCCAAGAATCCAAGGAGAGAAAGGCTGCCGCTCTGCTGGCGCAACAAAGGAGAAAGAAAAGAAAGAATAGATTTATATGCATGGCTCCACCTAAATCACGTAGGAAACGGCGTCGGGTAGTCTCACAGGATGTGCCCAGCCTGCCAAGTGCCTCTGCAGAGTCTAGTCCCCCTGATGAGCCCACATCATCAGACCAGCCTGCCAAATGCATGCCATTAAAGAAACGTAGAGGCAAAAGGGCACGTACACATGAGTAAAAAGGATCTTTCTGCAAATGGGGGTGGGGGCTCCCATGTCCATCTTATGCTCCAATATGTTAGCATTTACAGTTCAGTCCCCATGGAGTGCTTTTCCCCTGAATTCCTGTCCCTATGATATCTTGGGTCATCATCTTTGACATGCCCCCACTACTCGAATTGTCAAGTCCTCTATGCAGCGTTCCCAGTTTTGGAGTTTTTCTCGTAACATGTTGCCAAATTTGTCCTCTTGGTAGTTTGTTTATAAGAGGACTCTTAATGATTTATTCTCTAGAGCCTTGTGAGTGGCATGTAACAGATGTTTAATAAATTTGTTAAATAAAATGAGTGAAGTCTCTGGCTGGAGTTACTGGTGCCGTGCGTGGGTTCTGGAAGAAGGCAAAAGGCAAGGTTAGACATGCAAATTAGGTGAAGGTGCTGCTGGGGATATATATGGGGTACACCATACAGGCATCATAGTTGCTTATGCAACCTAGCCTCTGTGAACTAGCTCTTGTAGACCAGGCTGGCCTCGAACTCAGAGATCCGAACTCAGAGATCCGCCTGCTTCTGCCTCCCGAGTGCTGGGATTAAAGGCGTGCACCACCACCGCCCAGTTTAGAAGAGCTCTTTTTGAGCTTCCCTTTCTGCTTGATGGTACTGATGTTCAGGGTACAATCAACTATTTATTTTTTTAACTGATAGTGGACCAAAAAATTGGGGCCTTACAGAAGAAACCCATTGCAGCAAAAGTTGAAAGTTGCAAAGACTGGATATGTGCACTGCTAAAGTACTCACTTGCATGGGATTTGATTCCAGTATCCAGGAGATACTAGAGACTCCAAGGGAATGAACAGGAGTCTGATTAGATGAAAGTTTCTGACCCTAAGTGGGCATGTACATACAGAGTGATGAGGTCATCTTCTGGTCCTGTGTGTTGTCATGGTATACCCCTCTACCCCCAGCCATCCAGCCAAAGGACCAGGCCTGTGTGCTCTACTTAAATTCTAGTAGTTACCTGGCAGAGTGTGCTTCCTTCATCCTCACAGCAGCTCTGGCCTCTAAAGTTTCATTTGTCCTTAAAATCAGGACAAAGATGGATATGTAGCCAAAATATGTATTAGGCTGGACACAGCCTGATGGTCATCAGTTTGTACTTAATAAGCCAATACAGTTGATGTGATGGCACATTAATACCAGCACTTGGCAGGCAGAGGCAGGACAATTAGGAGTTCCAGGCCACCCTCTACAAATCGAGTTCAAGGCCAGACTGAAGCTACCTGATATTCTTATCTCAAAAAGCTACGAAGAAAGTAATTACAGTGGAGAAAGAGCCTACTTTTTGATTTGAGTTCAAAGAGAAGGTAGTTAAAAATGACTTACAGGTTTCTCCATGAACACATTTCCCCTTTTGTGTGTATTCTTCGGTTTTGTTTTGTTAGACAGGATTGGGGTTAGAGTCCTTAGATTTGAACATGCTGTGAAGCACTGTGTCACTGAGCTGCATCAATGCTATCCTGTGAATTTTCAAAGCGTCCTTGACTCAGAAAAAAAGGTTAGGGTGAAGTAGATTATTTAGAGTTTTTTTTTTGTTGTTGTTGTTTTTCTTCGAGACAGGGTTTTTTCTGTAGCTTTGGAGCCTGTCCTGAAACTAGCTCTTGTAGACCAGGCTGGCCTCAACTCAGAGATGCCTCTGCCTCCTGAGTGCTGGGATTAAAGGCGTGCGCCACCACTGCCCAGCTTATTTGGAGTTCTTTAAGAGTCACAGGAAGCCCTTAAAAACAAGTGATTGTATGAGTCAAAGACATGTTAATACTTAAGCTAGAAGTTGTTACATTTTCTCATTTCGATTCTTAAAATCTCACTTTCCCCCTCAAAATATGATTTCAATTTTTATCTCCTGCTTTACTTCCATTCAGGGGTAATGCACACTTATATCTAAATTATCTTTTGTTTTTGTTTTTCAAGACAGGGTTTCTTTGTGTAGCTCTGGCTGTCCTGGAACTCACTCTGTGGGCCAGGCTGGCCTCAAACTCATAGGTCTGCCTGTCTCAGCCTCCTGAGTGCTGGGATTAAAGGTGTGCACCACCACTGCCTGGCTACAGCTGAATTATTTTTAAGAGAAGGAACGCAGATCTCTGAGTTCAAGGCCAGCCTGGTCTATAGAGAGTTCCAGGTCAGCCAGAGCCACACACAGAAACCCTGTCTTGGTGGAAAAGAAAAAAGAAAAAAGAGAGAAAGTATATCTGAAGAAGCATCTGTGTGTGTGTGTGTGTGTGTGTGTGTGTGTGTGTGTGTAAGCATTTTGATTTTTTGTGGGTTTTTTGTTTTGTGGTGCTTGGGGATGAACTGGCTACTTCAGCTTGGTGATACTCTTAAGCTTATATTTTGGGAGAAAAATTGTCTTCAGGGAGGGGAAGGGGAAAAGGTATGCCAGGCATTGGGTAGGGGAGGTCAGTTTAGATCTGAGAAAAAAGACTGTGTCCCTGTGCTTTTGGGTGGCTGAGATGATTGAGACAGTTTACCGTGTGCTCTTGGATCCCCTATCAACAAGGCTTCATCTCTGGATTCTATATGCTTTTCTTTTGCGGGGGAGGGGGGAGCATTTGAGACAGGGTTTCTCTGTAGTTTTGGAACTTGTCCTGTAACTGTAGACCAGGCTGATCCGGAACTCACAGAAGTCTGCCTGCCTCTGCTTCCCAAGTGCTGGGATTAAAGGCATGCATGCATCACCACACTCAGTTTCTATGTATGCGTTTAAGCTGCTTTGTCTGTAGGGATGCTTGTTTTGATAATAGCCAGGTTGCTTTGCTAGAGAATGACAGAAGAAAGGAGAAGCTGCCTCTTGGTGTCCTGTCACTACCCTATCTGAAGGTGATTAGCCTGTTTGAATTTTTACCACTATCTTACTGTACTCCATCTCTCTGAGAGCCTCCTGCACTGCTGCCCATAGCTCTTGTCTAGGCTGCTTGTTGTTAGTTTGGATGTGGGGTGCACAAACTTTGAGGAAAAGTTTGCTAATAAGTCTAAAGGCTAGCTTTCTCTGCGTAGACACGGAGGTCCCATTCTCTGCTGCATCTGACAGATGGTAGTGGTTGTCATCTGCCTTTGCTGATACATATCTAGTGTTAAAGCAAAAATGTGAGCTTGTGAAGCCAAACTCACTGTGTTGGCAGTTCATTTTTCTAGCTCTGTGGGCTTCTCTATCTGGTTGTGGTTTGTTCTAGCCATAATTTTTTAAAAGCCTCCTCCAGGTATAATGGCACATATGGTAAATACTAGCAATTGGAAGGAAAAGGCAGAATGATTCCCACGAGTTTGGGACCAGCCTTGCCTATGTGACAAGAGCCTATCTCCTAAAAAAAAGAAAAAAAAAACAAAAACCAAACCAAACCAAACCAAACCAAAACAAAACAAAAAAAACACTTCCAGAGGGAGGAAGGGTTGTAGACACCAGAGGGGTCAAGGACATCACAAGAAAACTCACAAAAACAACTTACCTGGGCTCATAGGGACTCACAGAATCTGAACTGACAACCAGGAAGCCTGTATGGGACTGACCTAAGTACTCTACATATATGTTACAGTTGTGTAGTATAGATGGAGTTTCCTGTCTCATAGCTGTTTCCCAAATGCAGAGACTCAATATTAGTTGGAAACACTTGGCCAATAGCTCAGAGTTGTTACCAGCTAACTCTTAACATTTAAATTAACCTGTATTTCTCATCTCCGCTCTGCCACATGGCTTGGTACCTTTTCTCAGTATGGCATGCTCATGTTGTTTCTCTTTTTCTCTGCTGAAGACTCCAGGCTCTCCCCTTCTTCCTCCCAGCAGTCTCCTAGTCTGGCTCTCTAGCCCAATCTCTTTCTGCCCAGCTATTGGCCAGTCAGCTTCCTTATTAAATCAATCACAGTGACATATATTCACACAGTGTAAAGGCATATTCCACAGCAGTGTAGCTTGCTCTACTTCTGGGACTCCTAACAATGGGAGCAGGACCTGTCCCTAACACTTTGGCCAGCTCTTGGGAACCTGTTCTTCATACTTCATACAAGGGAAGGTGCTTAGTCTTACCTTACCTTGATATGCCATGATTTGTTGATACCCATGGGAGTCCTGCCCCTTTCTGAACATAAATAGAGGAGAAGTGGATTGGGGCAGAGGAGAAGAGGGAGGGGAAACTTCAGTCGCGATGTAAAATAAATTTTTAAAAAGCCAGGCGGTGGTGGCACATGCAGAGGCAGGTGGATCTCTGAGTTCGAGACCAGCCTGGTCTACAAGAGCTAGTTCCAGGACAGGCTCCAAAACTACAGAGAAACCCTGTCTCAAAAAACCAAAAAAAAAAAAAAAGCTGGGCGGTGGTGGTGCACGCCTTTAATCCCAGCACCCAGCACTTGGGAGGCAGAAGCAGGCGGATCTCTGTGAGTTTGAGATCAGCCTGGTCTACAAGAGCTAGTTCCAGGACAGGCTCGAAAAACCAAAGAAAAAAAGAAAGAAAGAAAAAAATCCAAACAAACCAAACACTAAAAAGCAAATTTAAAAAAACCCACTTCTATTTACATCAGTAGCAACTGAGCATTGGCCCAATCATGGTTTAATGGAAAGACTGAGGATTTGGGTCAGAAGATCCATTGTCTCTGACTTTTGGGTCAGACACCTGAGCTTTAGTATCCTCATTTGCAAGATAGAGATGGGAACAAACAATGATATGATGCAAAGAGAGGTTCTTTGCAAATACTAAAATGCCACTGGTGGT